TTACCATATAAACAAATAGCAAAATTATCATCAACTCCACTCAACCCATTGCGGTTCGTCATCTACAGCTGCATTAAGCCATATCATTAAATTGATAGTTTCATATATTAATTAGGCTACAAGTTTTTGATGAATTCCATTCCGAGGTGATAATGTCTCACCCATAACATAAACTATATGAGAATCCTAATAAAATGATTAAATAAATCATTTCATTTCATTAAACCTTAAATCAAAACCCTAAATCATAAAACCATAACCTGAACCTAAGCCTTAAACAGTAGACTTAAACCCTAAACCCTAAGGCCTAAACATGAACCTAAACCTAAATGTAAACTTAAAACACTAAACCTTAAACTATAAACCTTAACCTTAAACCTAAAAATTAGGCTACAAGTTTTTGATGAATTCCATTCCGAGGTGATAATGTCTCACCCATAACATAAACTATATGAGAATCCTAATAAAATGATTAAATAAATCATTTCATTTTCATTAAACCTTAAATCTAAAACCCTAAATCATAAAACCATAAACCTTGAACCTAAGCCTTAAACAGTAGATCTTAAACCCTAAACCCTAAGGCCTAAACATGAACCTTAAACCTAAATGTAAACTTAAAACACTAAACCTTAAACTATAAACCTTAAACCTTAAACCCTAAACCCTAAATTATAAACCCTAAACACAAACTTTAAATCCTAAAACCCTAAACCCTAAACTATAAACTACAAATACTAAACCCTAAATAATGATTAAATTCGAAATATTGAACAATTGAAAGTTGAAATTAAACCTAAATGATAAAATTAATAAACAATAAGAGACTTGTTTTACAATAATATATATCAATAATTATATATATTTGATTTGACTCATATCTTAAACCAAATTAACTTGAAGATCTAAATTTTAGCCATAATAAAAAACTAGTCGATTTGTTATTGACACGACCTGAAAATTTGTCGATTTGATATTAACCTAACTCAATATTTGATTAGACCTAAACAGACTTACTATAAACTTGAATTAAATAAAAAATGAATTCGTTTTGACATCAATTGAATCGGATATAATTTAGATCCAAAATAACTTTATTCAAACTTGATTCAAACAATCTGATTAGTACCTAAATTCAGTTTCATATTTGCAATCACATAAAATAAATTCCCGTGTCACATTACAAAATTAAAAAAAATATAACAATTAAACCAAAACTACAAGATTTTAAAATTTGAAATTTAATAAAAAAACAAAACAAATTATTATCTCGGATTAATATAAGGAATTATTCCCAATGACAAACATTCTCTTGAACCTCATTCCAACATTGGAAGCAAACAAGCAAGAAAACCTTAAATCCCGAACTATTTCTGACAAGCTACATAAACACATTATTTTGGGGAATTTATTTTAATAAAAAAATTAAAATGGAACTTGCTTTAAGTACTTCCAAAATCTTTGTCGGGCATGCCATGTATTTTTCTATTATTATTATTATTATTATTATCAAAATGTGAGTTGTTTCGTTGTACATTTATAACGTGTAAACGAGCTCCATCACCCCAAAAAAAATCAATTAATAATTGATTATTGTTGCGCTGTCCAAGAATATGCTAGGGCCATTGTTTATGGTCGTGTTGGGAACTGACAAAAGAGAGTTTAATTTTTCTATTGATGCCTTTCTCGGTTCCTCAGGTTTGCCCCATTCCCTTTCGTTTTCATTATGATCCGTCTGATTTTTTTATTGCAATTTCGAATTTTCATTTTCAATAATTAATATGCTAATCGCTTTAAGATTAGCTAGAAGAAGATACAAATGTTCGTTAGAAAACCCCACTCTACCGTGCTTTCAAAACTGAGGAATTGAAGCATTCCGTCCCCATTGTTCGTCTAAATGCTTGCGTCTGTGTGTTGGCAGACTTTGACTATACTTTCATGTCCCAGCTCCCACGATCGAATAGTACCTTTCCCCTCTGGTGAGTTTGTTTATGAGTTTATGAGTTTGTTTATCTTTAAATAAATATTCCTTTAATTTTTTATTTATATTGTCACTTGTATTTTTAGATATGTCTAGTGAACCACAAAGTTCTTCAACACCCATTGGTGTTTCAAGAGTTGAAGAGTTTTTTGTGAATGTTGATGATGAACATAACAAAGAAGAGTGCAATATAGAAGCTTCTGAACCTACTTTGACAGCACAACAAAAAAAGTTGAGGTTGAAAATCCTTTCCAAGCCTTTAAGAGACCAAGAAGATCAAAGGTGTGGGATGATTTCTTAGAACCTGAAATCATAAACGAACAAAGTAAAGTAAGGTGCTATGTATGGAAGCTTGGACATGTTACTGTTATTTTTTATTTTGTGAATTTGAGTTTTGTGGTACATGAACAGGTAGATTGGAATATTTTGTTACTGGATTTTGTGTTTTCTATGAAAGATTTGCCTTTGTATTTTGAGTTTTGAAACACTATTTTTATGGCAAAAGTTGTTGTTTTGCTTTGGGGAGGATTGTAAATAGGTGCCCGCTGTGGGCACATGTTTGATCTTATGTGTTTAGAACCTGTTCTACAACCATAACTACTCTTGTATGCATCCTATAAAGTTTATGAAATGAGTTTATATTATAATAAAAAAATGTATTGGTGATGGTTGATTAAAGAGAAAATTATTTATATATTTTAAATGTAATATAAGATTTTTGTAGGTTCAAATTCGAGTTCGAGCTTGAATCGAGTTCGAGTTTGAATCGAGTTTGAGCTTGAATCGAGCTCAAATTCGAGCTTGAATCGAGTTCGAGCTTCAATCGAGCTCGAGTCTTGAGCTTCAATCGAGCTCATGAATTTTTTTTGAGTTCGACCCTTTTCGAGTTCGAGTCGAGTTTCAATATTATCTTTCGAGTTCGAGTCGAGCTTGAAAATTTTAGGCTCGCGAGTTTTCGAATCGAGTCGAGCCTACATTTAAAGTTTTCGAGTTCGAGTCGAACTCGGCAATACTCGAGCTCGACTCGGCTCGTTTACACCCCTAAGTACAAGTACAAGTACATGTGCGTTTTCGTGTTTCTTGTGAGTATGGCTATTGCAGGGCTCAATGGAATCGAGGGAACCGGGAAACAAGACATCGAGGAGGAGATTGAGAAGTGTGTATTCCACCAATTACAATGGACATGAAACAAGAGAGAAAAAAAATCTTTGGTGATCATCAGTTCCACCTTATTTCTTTGCATGCTTTTGCTCTATACCTCATGAAACTGATCCATAGTTTAAGCATCCATGCAAACAAGAATCATGCAGCGTGAGCTGAAGTCAATAGAGCAATAGAATAATGCTGGAAGCAATTCACTCCACAGTACCCATTTCTATTCTACCTCATAGCTTGTTGTTTTTGTTATTTACAGGGTAAACTACAACTGGTTATTACTTTTGAAACTTCAATGAATCATTAGTGACCAGTTATGTAGTTTACCCTTATTTACATCGCTGAAAAATTTTAGTACACTCCAGAGGTTCTTCTGACTGATTAAACAATTATAAATTTGAAAATAAAAATAAGGTGTTTAACCCTCTTGGAAGTTAATTTTTTAACTACAACTTAAATGGATGCATTCATGTTGGGAATGTTCAATGATGTATAGTTTTGTTGCATATCTTAACCTTTGAACATATATGTACATTAAAACATATTGCTTGTGGCTTCTCTAATCTTATTGAGAGTTTTCTAATGGTGAGTTTGTCTCTAAATCTAATGCTAGAAAGAACCTAAATCTTGTTATTTATAAGCTTTATTATTACTTTTTCTCTGGTATAAAAGGGGAGATGACATCGAATTTGTGGGGTTTAGAGTGTTTTTTTATAAAACATATATTAAATTAATGTTCATGAAATAAAAAAAGGAATAAACTAGAAAATTGAAGGTTTAAAAATCGTTAATAACGCCAATCGATGAAGACCGATAATGATTGATGATAGTGGTGAACAATTACATGAGATGACGAATTTAGGGATCAAATTGATATCTTATCTAAAGTTCATATGTTGAATTAGTATTTTATTTAAAATTTATGTATCAAAAATTAAAAATTAACATCTTTTACTAACATGTCACGTTATCAAAGTAACGACATTCAACACCTGAATGATTAAAACATTATAAATCAATAATGAAATTGATTGAAACATTACTTTTTTAAAAATCAGTTACCAAAAAGTGAACATAAATGAAACAAAAATTACCATTTTAATAATTTATCCTTATGTTCTTTTAAATTCTTTAAACTAAAAATTATAATATCTTAATTATTTATACCATTAATTTTGAAAAAAATACTATTTCTAAAATTTATATTGTTAAATATAAAGTAAAATATTCAAATGACTATTATATTATGGGGTTGATATCAATATGATCGTCATACTTTTAATTTTGTCAATATGATCATATAACTATTTAAGTGGTTTCAATCAAGTTAGTTGTTAACATTTAACAAACGTACTGATGTGACAGTAAATAAAATTGATATAATTACATATTTGATCCTCAATATTTATACATTTAATTAATTTGATCTTAATTTTTTTTAATTTAATAAATTAATCATTGAATCAGGAGGTGATATATGTCAACATATATTCCTGACACGTGTTAGAATTAAAAATAATATGAGTTGGTGTAAGATTAAATTTGAGTCTTTGGGTTGATAGTGGAGCGTCTAAGCCACTAAACCAAATACTTCATTTGGTTAATTAATTACAACAAATTCTATTTAAATTATAATGTTGTTAAAGATAAAATAACAAAAATAAAATCATTTAAATTAGAGTGTCTAAACACATCAACAACGCATATAAATCCAATATAATATAATCTATTGGAAGACCCTGACACCACACGTAACAATAGACAAGCCGGGCTCCAGCCGTTTCTGTCTCCAAATTACAAAACACCCCCACCATTCTTTTTGACCTTCTTCTACCAACACTCAACAGATTAATAGCTTATTAAACCTTTTGTACGGGAAAGAGGCTTCTTCTCTTTCAGTTCTCCACCCGAAGAAACGAGAATCAAAGCCTCCTTTTCTCCGTGTCTCTCTAACCATGAGTCTCTTCGGTCTGGGCAGGTGAAATTTCATTTCCACTTCTTTTTTTTTTTTAAAGTTTCTCAGAAGAAGCTTACTTATGTTCCCGTTAATTAATTTTTTTATTTGCTTATTTCGAATTGTTGCTGATAAATCGTATGTCAGATCTGTTATCATTTTGCAAGATCAACGCGCTAATTCTGTTTTTGTTCTTGGCCTTTATTAAATTTTAATTCGAATTTTGAAAATGTTCCATCTATCACCATAATTTTCCTACCTGATTCTGACTCTCTTGTTAACTGTAACTACTGGATGTGCTTTTGTCAACTCGTTCACGTGGAGGTCAATTAGATCAGTGACTATGTTAATAGCATCATGGTGAATCTTAATGCATGTTGAACTTTTCTTAATCTTCTGGTGTTAAGCTATTAATGATTTGTTCTGATTGCTTATGATTCTATTGTGCAACTATAATTAAAAGCTATGTAACCTTGGTTGTTTTCTTGAATGACAACCTTAGAAAGGTCAAGCTATTCTAAATTCTTGGTTGTGTTCTTTTTAACCTTAAAAATTATATTGCCATAACTGAGAAACTTGAGCTTTGTATCATGAAGCTGAACTCTTTTGAGTGAGTGGCAAACTAGATTTGTTGGCAATTTGCTGCCACGGTTAGAAGACTTGTGGTGGAGGAATGAAGTTGAGAAAGTTGAATAAAATGGAAGAAAAGTAACTCGAATGTACAAATGTAATCTAATGGGATCTATTTAATTTTCCAAAAACTAGTTCCTAGGATCATTTTCAAAGGATGCAGATCTTCCATAGATTTCAAGAAGATACGAGTTTGGGCCTTCTGTCTTGCTCTTAACCATTCCACACGTGTCCATGTATGCATGATAAGTGTTGTATATTATTTCAAGCCATTAAGCGAGAAACGAACTGAAAAGCTTTTTTATTATATATATATATATATATTCAAAGATTGAATTCCTAATGTACCATGCAGTACACCTATGAAAAGCGAGAAACGTACTGAAAAGTATTTTTTAAAATATTTTCTTTGATTGAAATCCTAATGTACCATCCAGTACACATATGAAATACCTTCAATGTTATAGACACACACACACACAAAGGAACTTGTGAAACATTGAACTTTCCTATTCTAGAAGTGTAAACTTTTCCAATTTCTATTACCAAGTATTAGCAGTATAGTTGATTACCTTTTCAGTTGAGATTTTCCTGATAATAAATTGCTCTGAAAACAGAAATCAGAGAACGTTCCGCCCCAAAAAAAGTGCACCTTCTGGAAGTAAGGTTGGTTACTTGTTCCTTCTTTATCTTTTTAATAAGCATAATTAGTAATGTTTATCTCCTGCCTGTGAGAATTTGATGTGATATGTTCTCTTACTCTGTACTTTAATCTGGATTGTTAATTTGACCACCTTCATAATTTTCCCTCTTGGGAAGTAAATTGTGTCCTCTTTCTGATGACTAGAACTTCTTGGGTGTGAGCATGAAGCTTTAGCATGCTGGAAGTCTATTAGAAAGTTTTCAGAAATAGAAATAAAATCAATGCAAACACAACTTGACACTTAAGATCTAATGCCTCCAAAAATCTAAAAAATGACCCTGGAAGGCTGGCCTTGTTTGCAAACAAACTAAGAAAAGAAACTCCTGTATCCTTGATCCAATAATGTTTTTTGCTGATTCTTCAACTGGGGTTTCGAGCTACTTAAATGGTTGTCATTGTTCCTGATCCTTGTTATTTATTGCTTTATGAAGAATTTACTGCACCATACCTTCATATATCTTTTTTCTAGATTTCATCACTTTTGAAGTCATATATTAAAAAAATAAATAACTTTACGTTACAGTGTTTACTTGAATTGTCAGTGGCAAAGCTGAAATTCTACAAACTTCGATGCTACTCTGGCATGCATGACGGTCCTACAGGTGGGGCCACTCATGAATGTCAGAAGGCGTTATATGCACGTACTACATGTGATAATTTGTTTCTACTAAACAAGTATCTATGTCCAAACATGGTTAGTAATGCTGTATGGCTGAGATGACATTAATTGATTAGCCATTTTCCGCTTCCTCTTAACTTCTTGGGAGCTGGCTTATCTATTGTTTTTATTTATTTATTATAAATTACTTTCTGGACTTCATTCTTCTATATCAGTGGCTTAGCAGTCTTCACAGTTCTCCTCATAGTGTTATCTTAACACAATGCAGGGTGCACAGCTTAAAAAGCACATTGATGCTACTCTGGGTAGCGGAAACCTAAGGGAAGCAGTAAGGCTACCCCCTGGGGAGGATTTAAATGAATGGCTTGCAGTCAACAGTATATCTCGCTTCCCCTCTTTCCTTTTTTACTCGCATACACGCAGATAGAACATCCTATATAAACCATTCAATATATTTGTAAAACTGTGTATATAATCTATTCATGATCATTCTACTTTTGTATAACCATGTTGTTACTTATGGTCACAACTGCTAATTTATTTGTATTCAATTCATTAGCTGACTTTTTCTAGACAGTTTTTAGTACATTTTCTTCTCTATTTCTAGGTCACTTCCAAATTTCTTTGAAGCTTATTGCTAAAGCATGATTGTTTGATCTTTTTCAGCTGTGGATTTCTTCAATCAGGTGAATCTGCTCTATGGTACGTTGACTGAATTTTGTACTCCTGAGAACTGTCCTACAATGACTGCAGGCCCCAAGTATGATATATAACACTTTATTCCTTTAGTTCTTTTCAATAAAATAGTTGCACAATCATAAATTTAAATATTTCGTTATTCTGTATACCTACATTATGTTTGGATCTATTGATGGTATTAAAAGAGTTTCTTTCAAATGAGGGATGGATGTTTGAAGTGTTCAAGGAATTAAGATACACTGAGACTCCCTTGACTAAATGTTAGGCTCTTTATATCTTTGAAAAATAAATGGAAATTTCATTTAATTTTTTAAATATATATCTTGCCAAATCTTGTTTAATATTAAATCATAATATATAGCATGGTCTTGTTTAATTAGTCGGAGAAGAGTGAGCTATGCATCATGTTTCCTTTGATTTCATTCGTCCTAGTATTTGGTAGTATTGTTTTCATTATTATTGCCGGTTCATCTTTGCTATTCGCAATAATTTGAATTTTGCCTTATATTATTCAAAGGTCATTAGAAAGAAATAAAAATCTGTTTAGAATTGTTCTATGAGTTGAAGTCCTTGCAATCATTTGAATTTGTCCGGTAATTAAATTTTTTGTTTTCATGTTCAGTTTTTTTACCTTACGCTGCCTGATCAATCAGTTTAATAATTCGGTGCTTACAGTTGTGCACCTTAATAATTTAGGCTACTCATTTTTATAAATCTTTGAAGTGTATTTCTTGGGTTTTCTGGACTTGATTATTTTCTATCTTACAAAACTGTACAGGTATGAATATAGATGGGCAGATGGTGTGCAAATCAAGAAACCTATTGAGGTTTCTGCCCCAAAATATGTCGAATATCTAATGGACTGGATTGAAACACAACTGGATGATGAATCAATATTTCCTCAAAAGCTGGGTAAAATCTTCATATCATGTGCTTAACCCTCTTTAATTCTCTACAATGAAGTCCGACTCGGACATTAATCATGTGGAGAAAGATAATCGTTTATCTATGCAGACAATAGTGATGATTAGCTTTCTGTAATATGAAATTATTTGTATCACATCCATCTTGAGTATATTTATATATGTTATTGCACATTTCAAATTTTCTAGGTGCACCATTTCCTCCAAACTTCAAAGATGTGGTGAAGACAATATTCAAAAGGCTGTTCCGTGTATATGCCCACATTTATCACTCTCACTTCCAGAAAATTGTGAGCCTTAAGGAGGAGGCGCATTTGAACACATGCTTCAAGCATTTCATACTGTTCACTTGTGTAAGTCTTCTTCTCCATTATTATTTAAGATTTTAACCTCGACCCTCACCGCCCGCTAACCACTTGAGTTATGGGCCAAGTAGTGTTGAAATGTTCTTTGTATCTAAGAGGCAAGAATGTAGGCGTAGTTGAGTAGGAAGTTGTTAGGTTAATGAGATTGTTGTTTTGAATGTGCAGGAATTTGGGCTGATTGACAAGAAAGAGCTAGCCCCACTGCAAGAGCTCATAGGATCCATCATAGTTCCCTACTAAATTTATAGGGTTCGATTCCTGAGATCCTGGCAAAGTTAGTTTCTTTTATTTTAGGGATGCAAGTTCTAATAAGATTAAGGACTGTTATGGCAGGGGGATTTGAATAACAGGTGTCTCTAAATCTATATCTCTGTGTTATAAATGCAAGTTTTCATGTCATGTCCATTGAATGTCTTGCATCAAGCATTTCCGAAAAGAAAGCAGCTTGTTCTTGAAAGTAATCAAAGTCTTAATTTCCATTTAATCAATCCCCTGTTTTGTTTTTGGTTCTTCTTCTTTAGAACAAAGTGCAAGTGAAATGTAATAGATGAAGTGACTTAACAAAGTCATAATTTTGGTAAGCACAATGATTTGAAAATCTTTTTATTGTGTATATCTTATTCAAAATGCTTCAATTGAAATTTTAAGTTCAATTTCTCATACTCAATGAAAGAAAAAAAAACGAAAGCAATAGGATTATATTTTCTACAATAACTCAAATATAATCAAATAAATCAAAATAATAATATGATGTTTTCTATATCTACTTTTAAAATATAATGCATGTGAATGAGATGGGCCTAAATCACTGTTTTCACAAATAACAATACATCTTTTAAGTAAATTATTTTAATTGTTTTCTCTCAAATTATAAATCAACAATTTTAAAACCAATGCATTATTATATAAAAAAGCCTATAAAAGCATCTATATATGTTTTTTTAATTCAACGTACTTAAATGAATTTTTTTATATGGTAAAAATGTAACATTCTTTACCGTTATAACTTTCATCTTAATAGATTTTCTCGTCCAAAATAATGAATGACATTCTTTTTGTCCACCAATTTGGCATTGCTGTGCTGGTCACCCCTGATCGGCCATGCCAGTAATGGCACCCCACGTCCGATAGCTTCCACCGTTGAATTCCATCCACGATGTGATAGAAACCCACCCGTTGATCAATGGCTTGATATTAGCAACTGAGGTGCCCATCAGTGTATTATTAGACCTCTTTTACCAACCTTTTGGTCCAAACCATGTGGGAAGTAACTCTCTTGTTCAGTGAGTGGTTCAGGTGGTGGATCTGGTCGGCCCGAGCCATGTTGGATTGCCCAAACAAATGGCCTGGTTGAGGCTTCTAATGCATCAGCCAGTTGCTCGAGTTCTCGCTTGGTGGGAGCAATTTCACTACCAAAAGACACGTACAGGACTGATCCATGTGGCTTTGAATCTAACCATTCCATCACTTCATCTTCGGTTACGTTAGAGTGCCTGTTGGCTCGAATTTCACGATCGTGAAGCAAGGAGTCGAATGATTTCCAGAACTGTTGGGGCAATAAGGGTCCAACACCCCAAACTGGTTTGCCAATTTGGAGGTGATTTTACCCCACTGACACCGTTTGTTTTTATTTTTACTTTTCTAACACCGTTCGACCAATATTTCCAAAACTAGCACCCTTTATGCTGAGTTGGCAAAGGCGCGTCCCCGGGGGCGCGCTTTACCCGGTTTTTCGCTGAGTTGGATGCCACGTGTGAAAGGCGCGTCCCCGGGGACGCGCCTTTGCCAACTCAGCAGACACGTATTTTGTTTTATAATAAATAGTTTATTTATTATTATTATAAATTAATAATATATTATGTAAATGTTTCGATTTATTATGTAAATGTTTCGATATAATGTAAAAATTATAACTAATAATATTAAATTATATTAAATAAATATAAATATATTTATGTATTTAAAAGTTAAAAAAAATTATTAGGTGTACATACATTGACAAATTATATAATGCAATAACATTAAATTATTAGAAAAAAAAACATTCATTTAAAAACTTTAATTACATAAGAGTTAACGGTTATATGATGATAACAGAGCTGGACATTTTTTTCTATTGTGCCCGATGTTTCTACAATGCCCACATCGTTTTTGTTCTGTTGACTTCTCCCGAATATCCATATCACAATGTATTCTAGTAGATTTTGGACGACCTGAGTCCCTCAATAGCAATGGATCTGGGACAATTGTAAGCCAAGTTTGAATCTCATTTGGGTCTCTTTCGTTCCTATGGGCGGAAACTCAAATTCATATACCTTGAAAACTTGTGAAAGTTGGTATACGGGATCAACATAATTTTTGTAGTCCAAATGCGAATGTGAGCAAGCAGCAATGACATGAGAGCATGGATATTTGAGTGCTTGAAAGAAACCACAATCGCACCACCTCTCTTGCAGATTAACTCTGAAAGAGTTAGCTTCATCCCTTGCAGCGGACGTGGCATTTCGGTTACACGAAACAATTCACGGGTGCGAGAAAAATTTGTAACTAACATCCCATTTGATGTAGCCATTTTTTTCTGTAAATCGGCTACTAGTCTTGGGTGGTAAATATGTCCGTTTTGCATCCAAGTAAGAGCTTGTCCACCGAGTTTTGCAAAGAGTTGACCCAAACGAAAATAAGTCGTTTTGACCAACGCCGTGACTGGTAAATGACGCGCCCCCTTTAAGGTTGAATTTATTGCTTCAGCCAAGTTTGTTGTCATATGACCATAGCGACCCCCCGTCATATGCATTTGTCCACATTTCTTTGCTGATGTCCATAATGTACTCGCACCCTTCTTATTTTTGCCAAACAGCTCTTGTAGCATCGACTCAAACCTTGAGGTAAGAGTTCGTAACCTAAGTCATTAGGAATGTAATAGTTAATATGAAGTATAAATAAGTAATAAGAAATTGATAGAAAAATTGGGAAAAAGTAACATACCCATCCGCACGACTAACTGACGTTCATCGTTCTTCTTGTATTTTCCGTAATAGTTTGCAGCAATATGACGGACACAATAACGATGTTGAACATGTGGAGGTCTATACATTGTACCCAAAGAGTCCATTGCTGCTTTTATCCCGGCTCCTCGGTCTGAAATAATGCATACTCGTTCCCTGGTGACAACATGTAACGTAAATTTTTAAGGAAAAAAGCCCAAGACTCAGTGTCTTCTCCTTGAACGAGGGCAAACGCAACAGGAAGAATATTGCGGTTTCCATCTGGACCACAGCCAATAATAAAACTTGCTTGTATTCCCATACAAGAAAGTACCATCAATTTGGACAATTGTTTACAGTACTTGACTGCATTACACTGAGGGTAAGTCCAAAGACTCGGTAAAATTGGCAGCGATCGCGAACCATTCGATCATTCACGTAATGATGTTGAGTTTCGAACTCAACAATTGTCCCGGGATTAAGTCTTTGCACAACATGAAACCAACTGGGCAGCTCGTTGTAAGAGGAATCCCATTCGCCATGAAGTTTGCAAATGGCATTCTGTTTTGCCAACCACGCTTTTTTATATGAGTGTACCCATATTGGGACTGTATAGCAGAAATCAACACTGCAACAGCTATATGAGAGCTTTGCTTCACAATGGGCATGATTGCTTGACAATAATGTTGGAGTCCAAGTTGGGATGATCCTGGTTTATACCTGTTGCACAACATGTATGAGGACCGTTGTATCTGGTTAGTTCCCATAAGTTGTTTCCTCTTCCTCTTTGATACACGGACCATCCATTGACATCCGTTGTGACGTTGGACGCAGTAGCAGACATATTTCTCCGTGTTAGATCGATCAACTCGGGACTGAACTGAGTTACGAATATTGTAACTCTTTATTGCCATCATTGCTTCCTCCTTCGATGCGAACTCCATTCCATATGTAAATTACCGTCATTGACTGATGATTGAAGTCCATAGTTTCCAACATCAGGAAGATCTGGAAATTCAGGCTCATACATTGCATCATAATCAGCCTCATACATATGTGCAGGAAGTTCGGCTGGTGTTGTATTTATCGGAACGTCATCCGCTCATCATCAGAATGTACGTTAAACTGTGGTGAGTCAGGTTCAACGAATAATCCCGTTTCAGCACCATCTGCACCTGGCTCCCGAAGAGGTTCTTCTGGTGGAGATGAGGGTTCCTCCGATAATCCAATGTTGAGGTCAAATAAGTTCCGCTTGCGTGTCCTCCCCTTGAACTTGAGGCCATTGTATCATGTGGGATGTGAATAGACTGTCGTCTCGTTGGCATTTCCATATGTAAGTCGAAAACATTGGCAGATGAATGTCTGCCCCTTGAAGTAGAAGAGATGTTGCCATATGGATTATTGGTGAAGCCACGTGGGTTGAGATAAGCAGTTGCAGATGAATGCCTTCCTATTGAACTTGATGGCATGGTATATGGCGTTGGATCCGCCATTATGATGTGAAATCATTACAGATAAGTTGTGTCGGGCTATCAACTTGATCAGTTTGATATGCAATGCCAAAGTGAGAGGAATATGAGAGACCACGAGTTACACGAACCTCATAAAAGTGGCATACATTTCAATAAGAGATTGTGAACTCCCCATATGAGCATCAACCATCATAGAAACATCATCATCGTTTGAAAGCTGAAATGATGTATACGTGAGCGGAAAAAGTTCAGTAGGAATGTACCTCCATATGGTATAAAACCCTGCGGGCTAGGCATGTAACCTGGCGGGCTAGGCATGTAACCTGGCGGGCTAGGAATGTAACCCTGCGGGCTCGGAATGTAACCCTGCGGAGATGGCATATAAACTGGTGGGCTTGGCATATGAAGTGGAGGGCTGGGCATGTACCCCTGCGGCATCGACGAATAAGGATGTTGTGGTGGGACTGATGCAGAACCGGTAGCGCCTTCTCTCCGTCCACGCGTCGGGGGACGATGATATTGAGACGGTTGACGTCTTTCTCGACGCCTAGGAATGTTAACCCCTCGTGCTTCCGCCGAAAGTAGAAACGGCTTCCCATTTTCATTAAACCAGTCCATATAGTTATCCGTAACCATATGACCAGTTTCAGCGTAATATTGTCGAGGGGCCAACAGTGTATATCGGTTCTCCCAAAGCGCAATCCAATCTCTGTGTCTCACCACCCAGTTAACATCTTTCTTTCCCCGTCTATCTATGTTATGCACGTCGTCTAAATTTCTAGGAGCTCCAGGAATATATTGCGTACAACCATACTGACGGAGCACGCGATCAACTGGATGCCACTCAATAATAGCATAACATAAGAGGTATAACCGATATCCATACCTCTAATGACCCTCTAAGGTGGGGTGGGATGCAAGCTTTCACTTCATCGCTCGCATAAGGTATCCACTGAAACTGAAATAAATATACAATTCAAATAATAAAAATTCTAATTATATCTAACATTTAAATTAAAATATTAATAATTAAACAATTAAAACACCTCAGACCCAGCTTTCGTATCAATAAGTAAAGAATTCCTCTAAAACAGTAGGTATACTTTTATGGTCCTTTCTTTTCATCGACCACCTATGAAATATAATATAAACTAAATATCACCATATTTAATGAAAATATTTAAATCAAAATTTAGTTCGAAAATTACCTCAACAATAAGGGGAATACGTATGGTTCATTCACGATCGGCATAAGAAAGGCATGCGGAACCACGCCCATGATTGTAGAAGCAGAAGACATCCACCGATAGCAGTTTCTTATAATTCGTCGCCCGACATTTCTCTAAAGAGAAATGCCAAAAACAGCACCCCAACTATATCTTCCAGCTTCATCAAAATCGATCAGATGCCGCAACCACATACAATGCACCTGGTTGCGAGATTTGTCGGGCATCAATATTCTCCAATTATTCGTAGAATATATGCCCGAGCAATGCCTTTGCTTGATCCTCTGAAGCATTTTCATTTAAAACCTCAAAATTAGCTTTCAACCAAGATAAAGCTATCTACCTCCATTAAACTCTGGCGGAGCAGCCAAGATAATCAATGCACATTGATTGCCAATCACCATCCGCCATACCACACATCATTTCCGTCGACGGAAGCCCCAGAGCATAGAGACATCCTCCAACGTAATTGTTGCCTCTCCACACGGAAGGTGAAAAGTGTGTGTCTCGGGCCTCCACCTCTCAATCAGTGCAGAAATTAGGACAGGTTCGAGTTTGCAACCGCCTATAATTGTTGCAATATACCCGAACCCAGCAGAAGCCAAATATGGCAAAATACGTTCCGGTGTCGGTATACGTGGATTTTAATAAAAGTTTCTAAAATACGATCAGCATCCTAATATATATTTAAAAAGTAAAATTAATATAAATTCATATAACTTTAAAATAAAATAATTTAAATATTACATTAATTATAAAAAATATTACCATATCGCTAAAATGTCTGGAGATATGATCATTATCCAATCGCAACAGCATTTCGTTTTCCATTATAACTGTAGACAAACAATATAATTAGCAAAAAAAATTAATAATTCTAAATAATAATAATTATATAAATATTATTTAATAATAAAATATATTTACATAAATATATTAATATAAAAAATAATAACTATTTAAAAAAATACTACATAAAATAAATTTCTTACCACTAATAACAAATTTAAAACTCAAATAGTTGGAGAATTTGAGTTATATAAGAGAGGGAAGATGATTTTGGTGTGAAGAATGAGTGAGGGTTGAGGGGGTTTATATAGGGGAGGAGGGGTAGTTAGGAAAAACGGATGGGGGCATTAATGACATTTAATGGAAGGCGCGTCCCCGGGGATGCGCCTTCACACGTGTCTGTGATATGGCAAAGGCGCGTCCGGGGACGCGCCTTTCACACGTGGCATCCAAATCAGCGAAAACACGGGTAAAGCGCGCCCCCGGGGACGCGCCTTTGCCAACTCAGCAGAAAGGGTGCTAGTTTTGGAAATATTGGTCGAACGGTGTTAGAAAAGTAAAAATAAAAATAAACGGTGTCAGTGGGGTAAAAAAGCCCAATTTGGATGCCTAAACAATCAAGAAATGGACCCTCAAGATCATAGCAAGTATTGAGCATCAATGGAACTGAGTCCTTGGCAACATGGAGGCGGACGGGGAAACCCGATGCTCCCAACCCCAGGAGGCGGTCCAGGAGGGGGCCATGTTTAAGATCAGAACATGTCAAAGCCATTTCTTAAGGAAATCCAGGAAGCAAAAGGGTCTGTCCAGGCTTGATATCCACAACTCGAGCCTTCCACATGGCGTGCTCCAAAGCTGCAGAACATGCACCCGAGGTGAAAAATGTAACTGTTGGGATCTTATGCTTCTTGAAAATGTCTGCTGTCCAATCCATCATAATGTCTAGTACGGCACAAGCAGGTACGGCGGCATTCTCCAGCAGACTTGCAATGCCCTGAGCTAAATCTGAGTGGTGGTTATGGGCATGGGGATGGTTGGGATTGAGCTCAGGTGGAAGAGTTGGCGGCGGAGTGGGTATTTGGACAACTTCGATGAGAGGATGGTCACAGAAGGAAGAGGGTATTGAAGAAGAGAGATTAGAGGAAATGATGAAAGTAGTACTGAAATTGCGAGAGGCTATATGCTTGCATAGTTCCATGCATGGGAAGAGATGGCCTTGCCCGAAGAATGGAACTACCCATATACGCCTTTCACTCGGCATTCTTGTTGAAGATGAAGAGATAGAGAAAGACTAAAAGGTTAAGGTTTTTACAAGTAGGTAAGAAAAGATGGTTGGACTTGCAGTTGAGGTGGAGACCATTAAAGTCAGGTACGTAGGGAGGGTGGCGGCCGGCAAAGCTTAATGAAGAAACCTTAACATAAATATGCTACGAGACTATAGATTGTGTGTTATTAACGTATGTGATTATAAAAAAATAGAAATAATTATTTCTGTACATTACACTTTTCCTTTTAAAGATACATTACAATTTTTTTAGAAAAAAGATAAGTTACAGCTCAATTATTGTCTGTTTTACCAACGTGGACTCTTTTAGCACTCGGAAGAGAGATTAAAATTTGAGTGTAAAAGAAAATCCTCCAGTTATTTTCTCTCTTACTTGTTCCTTTTTACTAAGCAGCTTCCGCGCTCACAGCTACACCCGCAGGCTCTTTCTTCGCATCGCCATTAACGTCGCTAATGCTCATGCTCATGCTATTGCTATCATCCAAGCCCTCTTCATTCACATGTCCGGCGGCTACTGCTCCTTCGACATCGCTAATGTTCCCATAAATGGATATCACCATCGCAATAGCTGCGGTGCAGAACGCGGTTCCAAAAGAAGTCCCGACGTTCGCAGCAGCGGATCCTGACGCTACAGCAAAGCCCAAACAAGTTCCCACCATTTTCACCCACGATAACCAAACTGAAAACGCGCCTTCTTTACCAGCCGGTGAACAGTCCATCGCCAAAACTCGCCCGAAAGCATGCAACACACCTGCCGATGTGCCTTGCACCGCGGCGAAAATCAGTACATGGTGTCTGTTCCAGTTGTGGTTTCGGAATTGGAAACCTGTTCCTGAAGTTACCATTGATAAAATGAGTCCCAGTAGATGCATATTCACAGCACTTGCTTTTAAAACAAGCTGAACCGGTTGCAGCAGCGGCAAAGCAACCGAAGGGAAAATGAAGTAAATGAGCCAGAAATAGAACAAGAACACCGGCTTGAGGCAGAGTTCACCGACCAAGTAAAGTACACCTCCGGTGAAAATGCACATTGATGTGAATGAAGAAAGACCCACAATTATAAGACTTCCAAGTCCATGATGATATTTAAGAGGGGAGAGAAAATGGCATTTTGGTTCAGGAAAAGTAACGATTTCCCCAGGCCTCAAGGCAATGACATAAACTATTCCGGCTAGCCATTTTAGTCCACTAAAAATGGAGACCACCCACAGGCCGATGAAAATCTCATGAATTCGGAGCATATAATACACAAACGATACAATCACGGCTGAGCCTATGCAGCCGGCGGCTGTAGCACAGAGCGACAGCCAACTTGAGAAACCTCTTCTAACTGGGAATTCATGTCTTTGAAGGGAGGTTCCGGTGAAGCCTCGGACCATTAGACCATGATGGCGGGTGTGGGAAGCTGTAGCAATGGTGATGCCAACCACGATAGGAGCAATATATACGGGGAAGATCCATGCAACTTTGAAGAATCCAGCAGGTAGACAAAAGAATGCTCCGAGGGCTGTTGCAGCTCCAGTAATAAGTTGCTGGTTCGGGCTATGGTCGAGGTTGGTGGAAATGAAACGGAGTACCGGGGCAGCCACAACTAAGCCTATTGCCCAAGAGATTGAAGTCCACTCTAAGGGTGAAACTTTTGAATTGCCAACTGATATTGAACTGCGTGTAAGTTGATCGTACCTGTAATTAAACGCAAAAAACATGAATTGCACATGCCACGTGTGCAAAGTGCTTATGTATCACATATTATATATTTAAAGGGATGACATGACACATGACATGTTTTTAAAGTAGTTATATGATATATGAAATATGTCTAAAGTGATAAAATAACACATGTTACATGTTCAAAGTGATATATAACACATATCATATCATCATTTTTACATATAAGATTTGTCATATTAACGATAAGAGTTGATAATTAGTCAACTAATATTTCTATCTAATCAGGGGCATTTTATTTCAAGAAATATTGGAGACAAAATACTTCAAAGATAAAAAAATATAGATTAAAATGACTATTTTAAAAAAAGTAGAAGTAAATTTTAGTATTATGCCTTTAAAATATACCTATGATAACTTAAGACTTACAATTTCATTTCACCGGCCATACAGGTGAGGCCCTTAGGACTCCGGCGTGGCTCAGTAGGTTCATCAACTACTTGACTGATGATTAGAGAAAACACAATAGGTATAAGAACTGTATGAACGAAGTAAGAGCACAGTTCATACGCATACCAAACCCAAATCTCATGTCTCGGAGGCTTATGCTCAAGCCCTGAATATGCCCTAAAAGCTTCCTTGGCCATCTCCATTTTCATGGCAGCGTCACCGTCATCGTCAAAGGTCGACCCATCGACGATTACCCGATGCTCATTTCGCTCAGGTGCATGGACTAGTTCCTCAGTGTTTTGAACTTCAAAGCTGTCTTCTGCCATGTTGGTTCTCAGCTTCTTAGATGAAGAAAAAAAAGTGTTGTTCGTGTAAGTTGAATGCGGAGAGAGAGTAGAAATAGACAAAGTAGTGGAAGAAAATATGAAAAGATTTTGTTGGGTAATGAATTCGGCAGTCGATGACCACTAGGAAGATCGGTGACGGTAGAGGTTGATATTCATGAGGGTGACATTGAACAATGTAGTGTTTTGTTGAGAATATATAATAGAATATGAGCATTGTGGTGTGGAATTTTCGAGAGCTTTGGTTTGGCAAAGCAAACCTTGTTATGTCCATTTTGAAATCGTGGGTATATAATTGGCATCTACCATTAAGCACAGTGAATTCGAAATCGCTTAGAGGTTTTGTACTCATCCATTTTAAATAGGGTGGATGGAGTGGGGACAATTCTGATAAATATTTGTTCTGTTCTTTTTCTTCTTCTTTCTTTTGGCTTTGATTTTTAAATTATTATTTTATCCCCTTATATTATGTGATATTTTTATACGTATGTTACATGTCCCAATAATTATATATATATATATATATATATATATATATATATATTATAGATATATATATATATATATATATATATATATATATATGTTAAAAGTACGGTAAAAACTAAATTATATATATATTATTGTAATACTCATGTCCGTTTTTGATATTTTAGTGGTATGAAGCGAACATATGAATTAGGCCTCTACTAAAAAATATTAAGTTGTAAGAACAAGTAAAAATAAATAAATTTGCTTGTAAATTATTATTTTTATTACGTTTAATAAATTATTTAATAAATACATCAAATTTTAAATAGAAAAAATCAAGAAATTTTATTAAACACTTAACTACTTACACAAAACAAATAAAAGAAGGCCAAAGTTCGATTTCAACCTTCTCCAACTTGTAAAAGAATAATAAAGAATAAGAGAGTGAAAAGTGAAAAAATAATTTTAAAATACCACACCATCATCGCCATTTAATGGTGGATAACCAAAAGAGAAATAAAATGTAATATTAAGCATGATTTTGTAAAAAAATGACCAAAACGGAAACAAAATAATAAATGAATGACTAAATAGATAATTTATCATTTTTAATTATATATTGGATTTCATAATTTTAGGCCCTTCCACGTGTTTAGGGATGGTCATGAGATCCGAACTTGATGGGTTTCGATCCGACGAGATCGGGTTGATTTTTTAAAAAAAAAATCGGGTTTGGGTCGGATTCGGGTTTAAGGTGAAAAATATCCGACCCAAAAAAATATAATTTTACCTTATATATTTAAGAATAATTATAATAATACTCCTCTATATATTAATTTTCAATTAAATCACTGTTTTTATTGAATAAAAATAATATTTTATTATTATTTCGGGTTTTATCTCAAAAGGTCGGATCGGATGAAGGGTATATATTCTTTGAATCGGGTCGGGTCGGTTCAGGTTGGCCGAAACCTGATCCAAACCCAACCCATGCTCATCCCTACTCATGTTCAAGCTCAGCTACGGCCTATTTACATCTCTGTCGTTAACTGGCCGAAGAAATGAATCTTAGAACATCGTTATGTTAAGGAAGAAATCAAAGCTTAGTGGTGGAGTGACTTTGAATGAAAGATTTTCAGAACACTGTAACTTACATGCTTAGCTGCATTTTGCAATTGGGAAGTAATATATTCCGCGCAGAATGAGTTATATTAACTTACTACAATAACCAATTACTACAATAACCTCCGAGGCATGAGATTTGTGGTCGGTGGCTCTAAACCCTAAACTCTAAAACATCTATGTTTATATAAGACTAATACTTGATCCTTATTCAGACTATTAATGTGTTATATTAACTTACTACAATAACCAATTACTTAACATAAAACTTCGTGTTTTATTTTTAAATAATTAAAAGTCATACTATTCAACATCAGATTTCAAGTTTAAAAAATAAAATATCAAGACGTATATACTTGATTCATTAAGGTTTCGCAACATATATACTTACTGAAGTAAATAATTATTGTACTTTGAATAGTCCAAGTGAGACTCTTTTCGGTTATGATATTAATCCAACATAAATGAAAAAGGACTATAACTTACAAAAATAATTCAAATATTAGATTTTATAAAGTTTAGTGGAACACATTTACTCTATTATACTTCGTTAAAACCAAAGGCGTAAACATATTAATCACAATCTAATAAAGAAAGTGGAAAGAGTAATTGACCTATCGAGTATGAGTATCATCATATAGTAAATACATTAACCTAACCAGGTTAATTATTATTTAAGACAAATGTTAAATTAATATTCATCTTTATTGTTTGATATAATAATCACATAGTCTTATATTTCCTTTGAAAAATATTTTAACCCTTATTGTTTTATTTATTTTTATCAAAATAAATTTTTTGAACGAAAATCGTTGAGTAACAATAAACGTTTATTGCTAATATGATATTATATATATCATAATATATATATATATATATATATATATATATCTATATATATATATATATATATATATATAATTATTGAAGTAATATATATCGGTGTTTTTCCCTAAAAATCACCGGTGATCGGTATATATCGATCTAACACCGGTCAGATTATATTTCCTGATCTAACACTCGTAGCAGTAAAGCGCGCCCCCTGAACCGCGCTATATGTTAATTTGGCGCCACTTGGAGTATAGCGCCCCCTGTACCGCGCTATACGCCACGTAGGGGTATAGCACGGATCGCCGAACCAAAATTATATTTAACGTGGTCCTTGGTCCGCGCTATATAATAATTACATATAACGCGGTGCATGTACCACGCCTTATATGTTTATAAATACACTCCTCCGGTTCTCACATCGCCTTGCATCTCTCCTATCTTATAAATTAATACAATAATTTCGTCAACGAGTAATAATTCTGGCAATCTTCTCATATTTGATTTAGAAGTTCCTGCGATTTTTCGTTATAAGGTAATTTTGTTATAATTTTTTAATTATACTTATTGTTTATTATCATTATTTAAAAAAATATTATACTAATTATTTTCAATTAATTTTTATGTTTGTAAAATTGAAAAGCGGGAGCATACGTCGAAATAGTTTTGCGGTGCAGGTAATAATATAAAATTATATTATTTAAATTATTTACGTTGATGTGTAAAAAAAAATTTGTGTTATATTTTCGTTCATATATAATTTATTTAATCAGGTTTGTTTCAGTTTTTTTTGCAGATATAATATTGTCGCACTTTTAAACTCAAAGAATGGCGCGACTTTCAGCTATTGTTTATTATGATGGTGAAATTCGAGAAGATGAAACCGACGTTGTTTTCGTATCAAATGAGTGTGTTAAAATATCATTCAAGAGAAACATAACTCTTGAGGAGCTAATAAACGAAGATTTCGAGGAAGATTCATGTTGGAAGTAGTAGAAGAATGTCGTCATTGCAGTACAGATTTCCAATATCATTGTTGCCATTAACTTATACAGCGTTCGAACTTTCGAACAATGATGATGCTCAAATGATAGTTGAAGCTCAAAGTAATTATTCAGACGCCGCTATTGAGATGTACGCACATTTTGTTCAAGTGCGTGTTGTTCGGGGTCAATCTTTAAGCTCACACTATGAGCTGGCTGAACAAGTTGACAGCCCGACTACAGTAATGTGTAATGATTTTAATGCCATAATGGGGAGACATTCATCCGCAACTCCTTACGATATGTACCGAGGTGGGTCCACGAACAATCTGTATGGCAACACCGCGTCCAGTTCAAGGGGAAGGCATTCATCTGCAAATTTCTTTGACCATATGGAGATGTCATCGACGCAACCATCTGTGCAGTTTCCATTTGACACGATGGCTTCAAGCTCCAGGGGAGGTATTCGACTGCGAGCTTTTTCGATCTGAATGTCGATATGACTTCCAGTTCAAGGGGAAGGCGTGCAAGTAGTAGGTTTTTCGACCTAAATGTGGAGAGCATGAAGGAACCATCATCTCCACCAGAAGAACCGCTTCGTGAGCCTGGTGCGGATGGTGCTGAGACTGGACTATTCATTCACCCAGAATCACCGCAATTCAACTCCGATGATGATGAAGTTCCAGGAAATGTGGCACAAACTGACCCTCCTGCACACATGTATGAAGCTGATTATAGTGCAATGTATGGGCCAGAATTTGCGAATATGCCTCATCTCGGTGACTATGGATATTACTCATCAATAAATAATGGTGAGTTATCTTTAGGCATGGAGTTTTCAAGCAAAGAATAAGCGATGATGGCTATCAAAAATTACAATATCCGTAATTCTGTTCAGTCCAGAGTCAACCGATCGACGATCGAAAAATATGTATGCTACTATGCTCGATGCGAAAACGAATGCAATTGGATGGTTCGCGTATCGAAAATGAAGAGGAAAAACAACATATGGGAACTAACAGTATACAACGATCCTCACATATGTTGTGCTGGAGGGGTCAACCAAGATCATCCCCAACTTGGACTCTGAAGTGATATGCCAAGCCATCATGCCCATGGTAAAAGCAAGCCCTCATATAGCTGTTGCAGTGTTGATTTCAGCTATACAATCGCAGTATGGGTTCACTGTCTCCTATAAAAAAATTTGGTTGGCAAAACAAAATGTCATTGTCAAACTTCATGGTGAATGGGATGCATCTTACAACGAACTTCCAGGTTGGTTTAGGCTGGTGCGGACGTTGAATCCTGGGACAATTGTGGACTTTGAAACCTCCTATGCATACCATAATGATCGAGTTCTTCACGATCGATGCCAATTCTATCAAGTTTTTTGGAGTTACCCACAGTACGTTAATGATGCTAAATACTGCAAGCCTGTGGTCCAGATCGACGCTACTTTCTTGTATGGAAAATACAAGCAAGTTTTATTATTGGCAGTTGTCCAAGATG